TTCCTACCTACCTCCCTCCTCTCTCTCTCTCTCTCTCTCTCTCTTTCGACACGAATCTCGAGTGGACAATTTACAATTTGGAAAGAAAATCTTTGCGAGAGGAAGGAGCAAAGAATACTACACCCGACCTGTGAATCGAGAATCACGCGATCCTTTGGTTGCATTCTTATTACGGTTTATCACGGTAGCCGGTGACGGTGGGCGAGCAACGACTCGACACGCGTGGTGGTGGATCTTCCACGGGATGACGAGGCCGGTCGAACGGACAGTTATCTGGTCGATAATAGGCATAAACTGTTCCCCAGTCTATTATTAGTTTGAATTATTCATGACGCGAATGTTCCGCTTCTCATTGGCGGGGAAGAACGAGGGGCCGATGAAAGTTGGGGATCATTTCGAGATTTTATATCGCGGGAAACGAAGGTTGTTTACGAGCCGTTTTATCGTCGTTCACCAGCTGTAAACGGCTAAACATTGAATTCCGCGGGCAACCACTCGGAGAAATTTTCTTATATCGCTGTTTCCGCTCTCGGAAAAACTACGCGCGCGCGTAAACTTTGCTTCACCTTTCTCTTCCATGGAAAAAAATAACGGATTGAAAATTTATTCCTTTAAAATAGATCGTTTTAGAACGCGTGTATCGAAATTGGGAGCGGATCCATTCCCCGATATGGTGGATATTGATTTTTGATAAATATAAAAAGCGGACGTAAGCACGGCGAAAAATGCACGGCGAAATGGTTGTGCATATTGACGACAACACTTGTGCCGAATGGGAGTAGCCGGATATATGAAAAATATTTTTTTTCTTCCTTTTTCACTTTTTTCCTTTCCTTTTTTTTTTTTTTTGTAAAAATATTCGCGATGCAAACGTGCCGTAAACAGTAAATCTTCCGTACCTTCATCCGCTTCGAAATATAGACGATAATCTGGAGAAACTTGTACGATAAAATACGAATATATAATAAAATGTGATACGCACACGATGCATGGACGACGATCGCGGATGAGGAGAGTTAGAGGATGGAATCGAGGATGAAGGAAAAAAAAAAAAGGAAAACGCGGCGTGTTTGGAGGATGGAGCGGTGGACGGGCGGAAGTTGGCCTCATCGATGAGCGGAAGGTGGAAAACGCATCGAGGGCAAGACCGAAGGAGGGAATATTACAGGAGCTTTGTCGGCCAATTTCCAGAACGATTTCCGCATTTAGGTTGGAAGAAGTGGTTCTCTCTCACCTGTGCGCCTCGAAGCACGGCTAGACGGGCCTCCCTCTGCTCCAGGAGGCGCCTTTGCTGGGCAATTTCCCGCTGTTGCCTGGCTGCCATGCTTTCAAGCTCGCTGAGCACCAGCACAGCACCACCCCCGCCCACTGGTAACTGAAACAGGATTAACAGTACGTCAGGAAAAGCGGTTACAAATATCTGCACTTTTTTGCCATCCGCTTCGTCTTCTCCGTATCGACAAATTTTTCCGATCGAAAATTTAATCGGGTCGGAAATAAAAATTTGTCGCATTATAAATGTAAGAACCAAGTTTCTTTTTTAACGCGACGCATAATTCGTTTTAACCTGCATCTTTAGAAGAGGAAGAACACCAGTTGTTCCATCTTTGTCCTACAACTTGCCGCGATACGAGAGAAATAACGAGCAATAACATCAGTCTGTGGACATTGAATCTCTTAAACGATCGACCCGATTCTCCATCCTCGTAAATCCAACATTATTAACCTACCGATGCTTCTCCTCCTCGGATCCTATCTCGATTATCGACGCGGCGATAATCGAGGTTATACAATAAAATCTCGCGGAAGGTAAATCCTTCTAAATGTCAGCCTGCCATTTCGCAAAACGACGAGGGGAGCAACGAAGATGAAGAAGAAGAAGAAGAAGAAGAATATGAGGACGACGAAGAGGGGAGAGGAGGAAAAGCTGGAAGGATTACGCGATTTCGCAGAAACAAATGGAAAAACGGAAGGAGGAATGGGGATCCGGGGAGAGGCGTAACGCGGCGGAGAAAAGAAAAAGCGAGACGAGAGGAGTGGTAGGTCCGGACTGGAGGAGAGTTCTTTTTGCTTGACCTCGTGCACCATCTGGAGAGGACCGGCCTCCGATACCAAGTAGAATCCCAAGGTCGACTTGGCCCTTCGAATTCCACACACCGAGACAAGGACTCTTGGTAACCTTCGTACGTCAACGAAAACGAGCCGAGCGTGTCTGTTACCGATAATCGCACACGCTGTGTATTCTCCAACCTCTACATTTCTACCACCTTTCTTAATAACCAACTCTTCGTTAAATCGGAGAATATATCGTTAAGCGGAGTACGATAAATTATGATTTTTTTCTTTCTTTTTTTTTTCTTTTTCGACGAAAAATACGAAGGGAAAAGACGAGACGAGGAATAACTCGAGCCACTGAGACTGGCTCCAAAATTCCACTCGATCGCAAGATTTCAAACCGTGCGATTAAACGTCTCCTAAAACTCTCTCTCTCTCTTTCGCTCCTTGACGAACTTCGTTGCTCGAAGGCCAGATAAAATTTTGCCTCCAATCGAAGCAACAAATCGAAGCGGAGCGGCTAACCAAATCACGTCGAATGAAATCCATGTTTCCTAATCAAAATTCAAACGCTCGTTCATCTCTCCGTTTATCCGCCGAGATTAATACGGATCCCTCTCGAAAAAGGAAACTCGTTTCGAATATCGCGCGTGGTGCCACAGTTTTGAAAAAAAGTTAATCCGAATGAAATTTTCTTTTCATTCGAATCGTAGAGAAATTTCCGACTTCACCGCGACGGATTCGCAGGGTTGTCGCAAGGATCGAGACATTAACAAGGCACGATTTCCAAGTAGCAGCCAGATCGATCGGGAATCATCGATCTGGTTGAATAAGGAAAGATACGAGGGATGGGTTTTGTTGCTCCTACGTTCAGCGCACGTTCCAGGCATCATTAAATCGGCGAGAAGGCGGCTATTAGCGCCTTTCGAATTGATCGACATCGATGGATCCAAGCACCCCGCACAAAGTCTTCCTCCTCGCTTTATTCGCTTAACCGCCCGTCGCGAGAAAATGGCGGAACGGTTTCGGGGAAGGGGAGGAAGAGAGTTAATCTTTAATGCAAAGGATCGCCGGCGAACCAGAAGAAAATCGAGGAAACTTTTCTCTTAACGCTCGTTAACCGACGATTCAATTTTCTCGATCCCGATGTCCCCACCCTCCCGAATTAATCCGAATTCGATTACTTTGCACTTTGATAACCATGAAAACTTTATCCCTCTCTTCTTCCTCTCATCTGCTATTACCCCCGGTTTCACACCCCATCGATATCTACAACGTCTCCTCCAACGTCTCCTCTCGTCAACGAATGAAAATATATTTGATGCAAATTTAACGTTATGAATTTACGTTAAATGGTATCTCTCTTTTACATTTGAACCCCTTTCCGGAACAATCTAATTTACACCGGTCGTTCTCAGATTTTCCGGTTAAATAGCTTGTGAAAGGGAGAAGAAGAAGAAGAGGAAGAAGAAGAAGGAGGAGGAGGAGGAGGAGGAAATAAAAATTAAACGGAGATTGTAAAGCGCAATAACTCGCGCGATAAAGGTAGGGGTGAATAAATATCAAACACCCTTCCAGGGCGTTGCGAGGGAGAGATTTTTCACTTCGAAACCGCAAATTTTCCCTCGCGTTTCAACCGTCGCCTCGTAAATAGACGCGAGCGCGGTCACTGATCCGAGCAAAGGGTGGAGAGAATTCTCTCTCTCTTTTTCTCTCTCGATCGAAGAAAGGTGGCGTGCCTTCGAGCGTACCGCGTTTTTCGCGCGCGTGAAACTCGAACAAGCGCGATTCGAGGAGACACGCGATGCGACTGCCCTGTTATTATCCCGTACGCTCGGAGAGGAACCTCCTCTCCCTCCCCGAGCTATCCGCCAGATGTATATATTGTGGTTCCACAGAAAAATCTCGCAGATTTTGCTCATTTCGGCGTCAAATTCTTCTCTCCAGCTTGATTTAATGCCAGGTTGCCTTCATCCATTCGGACGAAGGAATATTTTATTACCTTCGGAATGCGTGGCGAGTTTCGAGGATGCGGCGCAAGTTCCACACCTGCAAGTCACAGTAGTTTATTTAGAAGCCGAAAGCGGGTGTATTAATAGTTCGATCACATCTTCGTTCGAGTCACGAACAACTTAATTTTCCATTGTATCCTGTACAGGATACGACAATCTTGTATCCATTGTATCCAGATACGGACGGACTTCTCGAAAAGCGGGGGGGAGGAAGAGGGGAGGGGAGCAATATCGGAGAGAAATCGATACGTAAGCGTGATTAAAAGGGAAGGAAAAACCAAACCGGCTTTATGAATGACCATTCGAGGGATGATACGCCAATTCAAACCTCGTTACCTTCGTTAACGCCAATTCCCACTTTTCCATCCTTCCTCCTTCTCCTTCTCCTCTCGATTTTCTTTCGTCTAGATACGCACGCTCCATACGTACGTATTTAAACTCTTTACGGCGTTTCGAATTTCTTCAAGCTCGTCGTCGCGCTACGCGGCGCGTAAATTTCTCCTTTTTCTTCCGCTCCCTCGATTGTGTGCCCGAGTAGAATTACTAAGAAAAATTCGTACCGTTTTATATACCGGCCTCCCTCTTTTCACAACGCTCGATTATATAATTTCGCCTGCACATCTTCCCTTTTCCCTAGATTTTCGACGAGGGCGAGAAGGAATAATTTTGCCAATTCGTTCGACAAAATCGAAAAACTCTTCGAACGAAACGGGATCTCCCTCGTATGTACGCTTCCCATTCCCTCTCCCTCAGAGGGGAGGAGGATTTCTTCGGCAAACAAAAAAGTCGCGGATATCCCGATTGCGAATAATTTTCGGATCGGTCCAATGGACAATTCTCCTCTCGCGTCGCTGCTTCTTCGATATTCCATTCCTTCGAATACCTTCCTTCATCGTTTATTCATTCGCTCGAAACGAGGCAGAGGTAAATAATAATACACGGAATCAAGAATTAAGAGCAATTAACGGGCAGAGAATCCGTTAAATAGACGAGATTCCCTTCTTCCGATCCGTGTCGCGAGTTAATGCTTCTTTATCTCGTTGATATTATCCCGCAATAGGGAAAGAGAGAAAGGAAAGGAAAGAGAAGGTTTTCGTAGAGAATGGAAGAATTTCGGGTGGGCGCGGGGAGCGGCCAAGGGTTTGGAGGAGTAAAAACATGGCCGGAAACGAAACCGGCCGAGCATTACACAGGTAAGCTTCTCCGAATGGCATGTTGACCTTTCTCATTTCGGCCCGAGGCCTGTGTTAAACGCGAGTTCTGCGATCGCGCCGTGTAACGGGTGGCTTCGAACTCCGCGTCGCCGTTTCCTTCTCCGTTTCCAGAGAAACCTCTTGGACCGAACCAATTGCCCCATTTCGAGGGCGAAGCTCTCGACAGTACCGGGGAATATAAATTCGACTTGTTGGCAAACGTTAGCAAACGACGGGACCCGTTCAATTCAACCGAATGCGCAACTCGGCTACCAGTGGACAGGTAGGAAATAAAATACGAGCAGATACGAGGAGAATATATGTTTGCGCGTTGCTTGTTGTTCGAGAGGAGGAAAAGATCGCTCGAAAGTGAAGTTTCGATAGTCGGCCAGGTTCGAACATTTTTGCAAGCGTTGTGGAGCAGCATCGACCTACACGATTCGAGAAAATGATAGTGGTGCTTACGGAACGTGGAAGAGAGGATCGTGCATGGAACGATTCGACCGATTATCTGGTTGCGTCCAACCAACTGGTTGCCATCGTCGCACAACTTTTTCGAAAGCGTTTGTCCGAATCGGGGAGGGGGGGGGGAACGGGGGAAACGCGATAAAACGGAAACACGACTCTTTCGACAACAACAACAAAGGGAGAATGCAACGAAACGATGTTGCGTATCGAGACACCCGTATATGGTTTTCGTCGGTGAGGAGCGGCGAATAAATTTTGGGGAGCGAGGGGCCAGGCAGCGATAATTCCGAGGTGGTAATTAAGGAAATTCGCGGAGGCGTGCGCTTTGCCGATAAATACCGAGGAGAATTTCATCGAAATAATCCCCGCGGGCCAATCGCGCACGCCTTACCAACTTATCTCGCGACAGTTTAAGTGGCCGTAACTATTATTTACTCGATCGAGTAACCGACTAACGTAGTCCCTTCTGCTCAGCTATCACGCTCCTCTTCGCCTCTTCGTCTTTTATCGCTAGCAAGCTCCTCTCTCTCTCTCTCTCTCTCTCTTTCTCTTCTAGAGAGATTTATTTATCGGTGATCGCAAGAGGACTTTGAAATTTCCCGGTGGCGAGCGAGACAGCTTCACGAAAATTATATCTTATATATCTT